GTCTTGGTTTTTAGTTTAAAGCGTTGCAAAAAAAGAATAGCACAAAAAGGAGAAAATGAAATAAAAATGCAATTACACTTGACTCTCAAGTAAGCGCACTTCTCTTTCTTTGCAAGTAACTATATCAAGTGATTGTGATTCATTATTACAGACAGATTTGACTTCTTTCTTTGACATTGTCTTCCTGTATTGTTTAGGTGAAGAGCACTAGGAAAACTATGTATAATCTTTCAAATATGTGGATGTATGTGCAAACTTTATGACCGTGAAATCAAATAAATCATTATTTAGGAAGCTCAGAACAAAAGACTGAAGCCATTTATGGTGACTTGCATTAAGCAATTTACTTTATGCTTAGCATTGTTTAGCTAAGCTAATCATGGAAGATTAACCTTTAAAAATTTATATTGCAAAGTATGTTGATCCCATTCTTGGTTCTTAATGCTTTTAGCTCTATAAACAACATTTAACATTTACCAGTAGTAATGTCATGGACAAATGTTCCCTCACCTTGTAAATAACAAAGGTTTAAATTGTTTTCTCTTCCTTTTTTTTTGAAGAATTTGAAGATTGGCAGCAGTGCAGTCTTTTATTTTTTCTAATGGTGAATTAAATGATGACATCACTGTAGAGATCATTAGAAGTAAAAGTTTAACACTGGAAAATACTAGACAAGTATTCAGATTTTTGCTGTGGCCACTGTTTCCTCATTTTATTTGAACAAAGCAAAAATAGCTTAAAGTATGAATGTAAGAAAAACTGGTTCTAGGGTGTGTTCTGATCCTAAATCACAGCAGCACTAAATTATGTGCATAGGTATGAACCTCCAAGCAGTCCTATTTTTTTGTTGTGATGACTCATATGTTTATACCTACTTCTGATTTTTGCCTTGAGTTAGTGCTGTAATATTTAAATAGTTAAAATTCAATATTAAGAATGAAAAAGAAATAACAATAATTCATCATAGATTCAGTGTTTTCCATTCAAATTTTCTAGTACCTTTCTTTACAGGAGTTCTGAGGAACAAACAGTCAACCATAAATTAGTCTGTCAAGCTTTTTTAAATCTATGGTCTAAGCACACCTCCTGCTCCATAAATGTTTGAAGAATCTAAAAAAGACAATTAAGAAAGGAAAGGAAAGTTCAAACATGTTATGCAGCAACTTGCATGCATGAAACTCCAGAGATTAAAAGAATATGGGTAACCGTTGAAAGGGAGGAGAATTTATGGGACAGGCTCTGTAGCAGTACTAATCCATGATAGTAGTACAAAAGTGCTACAGATCTTTTTTTCATATAACACAAAAGATGTCACTGACATTCAATGGAATATGTTTCTTTTACCTTCACAAGGCATAACAACTCAAAGTGCGTGAGCTGTATTTAGATGGTATATACCTTGAAATACAAAAGTGTTTCATACTCACCCATGATTACTCTTCTATTACAAACAAAAACTTTTGGAAAAATCTGAAGAAAGTCACATATGCAATGAGGCCTTGGGGACACCAAGTCAGAAGCACAAGTCATGTAAATTACCACCTCAAAACTAGGCTATTTTGTACAAAGGTTAAGGACATTGGGGTTTGAGAGATTTTGCCACTGCTAGATGTAAGTTGCCCTTTTAGATAGCTACCTCAATGAAGCTTTTAAGGATATAATTAATCCAGTTTTTTTCTCTGTTAGTGTTAAATCCAAACTAGAACTGGACCAGGGCAGAAAATGGCATTAGTTCTGTTCCTACACCAAATATTATTCATAACTAAATTCTTAAGAAAAAGGGGGGGTACTGCAGCTTAAGTTCCATTTCAAGAATTTCTTGGAGCTTCAGGCAGATTCCTGATTTGCAAAATGGCTGTTAAGACACGGTGTAGAATTCAGAAATGCAATACTTGCTCCTGTTAGGAGTCATTGCTGCTACATCCACAGAGCTTGGCAGAAACTGTAAAGCTAGGCTCTAGATCTACACTCAGAAGGGCTGGGCCAGCCGCACCTGAAGAACTTGGGTTTATTATCTTGAGGAGGGGGAATGGGGACCGCTACTGTATCCCCTTAGCGTCTCATGCAAGAATTACAGGCGTTACAAAAGTCCTACAGATTTCTTTTGTTAATTTTTTGCTGACAGTGTTGAAGAACAATAGCAGATAACATTATGGCACTTTTCTTGGTAATGCCCTCTGAGTTGTTGTATCACACTAGTCTGACTGGCCTGGAATTCTGCTCTTACTTTTAGCTGGTTCTTTAATCTTACTTCCTAGTACCTAAGTAGCTAACAGCATAAGGCAAAACATAGTATCAGTTTAACATAGTAATCAGAGACTAACTTTAACAATGTGAGGTTAAACTGCTTCTGAAAAATGCCATATGTCACTGCAGGTTGTCTATATAACTGTGCATACACAGAATATTCATATAAGATATATGTATACAGTATACCTATGAAACACATGTGATGGTAAGCATTTGGTTCTCCTTAAGACCAATGGAAACTGAGGTTTCTGAACTCCACACAGGAGATTCTCACAGCATCCAGTCATAGATATCTATTTTGCAGGGAAAATGTAGCTTTTCCTCCAGAGCTCTGAAAGTTTGGTTCCATAACTGTGTTCAGAAAATGAGACTTCAATAAGCTCTGGCTCTTTTATTCATTTACTCCCTCTTCGATCCACAATATTGGTTTTGATTCAGAACATTTTAACAGGGACTGTTTCTATTTTCTTTGTCAGTAGGCTGATAAGCTCTTCTTACTATAGAGCAAAACCTTTTCAATACACAGTATTCTTAGTGGGTCATTAATTTTATGTTGAAATAAAATAACTTTTCCCCTTTTTCTCCTGACAGTTACTCCTGTATTAGACCAAACTTCTACTCTCTTTATTACTGCTAAGACTTTTCTAAAATCAAGGAAAGACTGACTTTCCCAGTCAAGTTTATAGTATAGACTGTATGGTTAAGGGAAATAAGATTTGCACAAAAAGGTTATCCTCTTCCAAAGCATTAGTGTTTTACCCTTTGATTCCATGCTACTATTTGTTCTTTCTCCTTCGAAATTAATGAGGGAAGACTTCAGACTTATAGGCATTTTGAAATAAAATGTTAAGCCTGCAGGCTATGAACTGGTGAGATATTAAACTTTTTTACTTCCTTCTACATTACTTACAAAATGAGGAGAAATCACACAGCTGACCACACTGCAGCTTCTTAATGCTGCTGTAAATAGATCATAATAAGCATGTGGTACACGTGATTGTCTGTGCTGATAAATGAAAGGGTGTGGATTGTTCAGCATCAGTGGAAGGAGGGGAACAAAAAAAAAAACCAAATAACCTTCCTGATTGCAGCTGCAAATGGTAGCAATTTTTCCTTCCTGCATTAATGAATGTAATTCATGTAATGCATATTACTTTGTTCAACAGCAAAATTCTCACGTTCAGTTCACAGACATAAAATATTTTAGTTAAGAATATCAATGAGTAATGACAATCCACTTCCAGAAAAAGCAAAGAAGGACACTTCTTTGGCCATGTAGAATGAGCTGTGATGCAAATACTGTTTATCAGTGCAATAAATACACTTTCCTAAAACTCTTTACCAAAAGAATATCTTTAAAGACATGTTCTGTTTTATTTGTTTGTTTTCCCCTTCTAACCCTCCTTTACATGCAATATTTGACCGAGAACCTGCATTTTACAGTCTCTAGTGATCATATCACTTCATCCTCTATAAACATCACAAATTAAAAAAGCTTTCAGCAACTGAACTCCAACACAACATACACAAAACTAAAATAATTCATTGTCTAGAGACCATAACAAATTTTAATGTGCATTTACAGAGTAAACAGAGGGCTGAAAGGGGTCAAACCAGTGGAAGTGAAGGTATGTATTACAAAATCCACACCGTACTGAATTACAAACTAAAAAAGTGATGTTTTGTTAAAAAAGGAAAGAAAGATGTCTGTTGGTGGCACGACATATAGATAATATTAAAAACTGCTTGCATGAGGACCAAAGTATATCTACTCTGAAGTTATATCACACAGACTGTAAGCAATTTACAGAATTTAAGTTAGTTTTGCATATACAGGAGTTGCAAAATTAGAGAAAACACACTGAAATATAGAACACACACACAAAAAAAAAGATGTATATATATATATATATAAACCTCCACGCAGTCATCAGGGGTTGGCCTAAGTCAGTAATTGCCACCATTGAGCAAGAAACAAACAAAAAAAGACAGGAAAAAAACCCACAGGGCAAAAATAATAATAATAATAATAATAATAATAATAATAATAATAATAATAAACCCCCAAACAACTAAAACCAAAAATATCCTCATTTGTTTTCCAGAAACAACATCCTCTAGTCTGCTTAGCTGCTTTGTAGAACTGATTTTCTCCTTCCTCTTCCTCATGCAAAAAAAAAAAAAAAAAAAAAAAAGTCTTTTTGACAAAGTTTGTGGGATGTTTATTGGGGTTGATGTTAAATCACTATGTCTTGTTTCATTATTTAGCCTCTGTTGCTTCCAGGCTGGAATGGTTCTTTCAGCGTAGGAAACCAAATGACATCCATGGTTAATTCTGTAATACTGATGACTCGCAGGCCAACCCCTGAGAAGTCAAGGATGAGGCTTCTCCTTGCCGAAAGAAAAGGAAACTAGGTCTTGCTGTTACAAAACGTTTGATTACATCACAACAGTTCTCTTCAAATAAAAGATCAGTGATACGCCAAAGAAAATATGTCAAGAAAACATGTGGTATCCTCTTCTTTTTATAATATCTATCTATCTATTTATTTATTTATTTATTTATTTAGTATTTTTGTTTGTACTTCCTGAAGAAGGTGCTCCTTGTGTAGAGATTTAGAGTACATTGGGTGCAGAGTGGTGGTTGGAGGTTAGGGTCAACTTTGCTGTCCGCTCCGTGGATTTTACAGGCGATTTGCTCTTTGCTTTAAGAAGAGAAAGTGATATTGGAAAAAGTCAGCACTTTTAGATTAAAGCAAAGCACCCTTCACAAAGCCACAAACAAGAAGCAGGACAGAAAGTCCATGGCTTGTAGCTATCCTCGCACCTGCGGAAGAAGTTATAAGATATTCGCTCATCTTGCAGATTTCCAATGCTCCTTATAAGGCTGTTTTAAACACATACATTTATATATTTAATTAGCTCGCCAGGTTTGCTCTGGTGCCCATGAATGTCTTGGCATGCACTGCAAATAACAACACATACAAAGTATTTCAGTCCCAGGGAGGTTTTTTTTTTTGTTGTTTTGCTTTGCTTTTGTTTCTTGTCTGTCTTTTTAAACAACATTATCCAGTGAAACCATATACCAAGAGGAACAAACCCAAACACCTTCCACCTCAGAGGGATATTTACAAAATAATTTCCAGCATCACATCATTGAATGCTAACAAAAAAGTCATCTAGTGGCTAAAGAGTGTTTTGTAAAACAGAGGAGATACTGGCAAATGGCTGTGCTATTTACAAGGGGGAAACAAAATGCTAAAAGGTTTGGAGTTTTTATTTTTGAGAAATTATATTTTCCCAGATTTTTTTTTCTTTTTAAAAAGCTATGAAAACAATAGTACATATCATTATATCTAAAAACATGACTTTATCTTTTAAGTACGTTATCAGAATAAAAACATTCAGAACTAGGCTAACTAAACCAAAATGTTCACACACTAAGGACATGAGTACTTAGGTGTCTTACATACCGAGTCTCAGTGCTTGATAACTCTATATCATAAAGAATTACATTCAGAATTTTAAATTTATTACTTGAGGTGAAAATCTTAAATTTGATTTGGTTACTACATAAATAAAAATTCCAATTATAACAGGTTAATGCATGATTAATAGATTTTATAGCTGTGTTGTATACTTGAAAATTATGAATATTATTGATGGCTACAGGCATCAATTCTACAATAAAGCAATGATCATGTTATAAGCAGTCCATAATAATCCTGGACTTTAAATAACTGTTTATTTTCTAAAAAGAAAATAAATATAAAATATGTATAAGCTATTTTTGTAAATAATTTAATATTAAACTGAATGCTGGATTCCATTGCAGCACGAAATAGCACATTTATGTTCTCATCAAGAATATATACACAATGAAAGCAAAAAGAACTCAAAGCAAAGAGCAATTTTTAAAGTTTTCAGGCATTTATCAGTAAAACATTTCACTTCATGTGCTAACTGTGTTTATGAGTGTAGCAATAAGTATTTCTGCTCCTGTCTTTAGTAAATTTCTCCCTTCAAAAACGGGGATTAAACTAAATCCCAGACCTCTGAACACTGCTTCCTTTTGTAAATATATAGTGTGAGATGTTGCATACATAGTAGATGCCATAAAAGACTTTTAGTCCTCTGTCACATACACAAGAGCTTCTAAGTAACAGTGATATTTCAATTATCCATGTGTGAACAGAATTTTGAAATTAGTATTAACTTTTTAGTGGAAACATGTCTGAGATATTAATAAGATTTTCAAAGCAGTTCAAGGAAACTCTGAGTTTCATTCCTACTGAACATAGACAGGACTGGGAAGCCTACTTTTCTCTTGCCCATTTGATAACGCTAGCCTACCTGTACCACACCGCAGTAGTTTGCTGCGGTCCTCAAAACACTTGTTCTATTTTATGAACAAGCAAACACACAAGCAAGTTTGCTGCAACTTTTTCCTGTGGGTTGCTCTCATCCAGGTAGCATTTGCAAGCTTGTGCCCAAAGGTCAAGTTCAATTTCTGGTTTTGGTGTTATTGCATGATGGCTTTCTTCTCTCTTTTATATAAGGTGTAAAATCTGTCATTTGAAAGATTTTTATAAAGTTTTTTCTTTCC